CATGTAACCCTGCTGATGTCCTTTGCTCTGTCCTACCTTCCCCAGAAGGAACACAGCCACATTTCACTTGGTTTACCCACAAGAAGGAAACAGAACCAGTCTGGACTTTGTCTGATGTGGGTAAAACCTGTGAGCAGAAAGCCAGCTGGTTCCTCAAGTCCAATCATTGACCCATCCCACCACAGCCCACTCACAGAATCATGGAATCACTGAGGTTGGAAAAGGCCTCCAAGATCCCCAAGCCCAGCCCAAACCCGCTCGCATTGATCATGTCCTTCATCTCCACAGTTCTGTTACATCTCCAGGGTTGATGACTCCACCACCTCCCTAGGCAGTCTGTGCCACTGCATTATCAGAAATGCAACATGAGTCACCAGCAGCCAAACCATCCCACGACAGGCCTTCAAACCCCTTACAGCTTACCCTTACAGCTCCTTCAGGAGCTGTAAGGAAGATGGTCTGACTGTAAAGAAAGCACCAAGGTGTGGAGATGTTCTGGAATAAGAACATTCTGCTCTGTGCAGCAGAAGATGGCACATGGGGGAGGTCCCCCACCCCCTGACCTCAAGTTATGGCGGGGTTGGTGTCCACATGGTTGAGGCTGCAGAGGAGGGGGTAGTGGGACCCGTGAGATGTCCCCTGCAGTCCAAAGCACAAGCACAAATCCCCTGCAGAAAGCCCGACCCTAAAACCGACCCCATCTCCAGGATCTGGAGGGAACGTCCTGACTCCTGCACAGTGACGTGAGGAGGAGGAGAAGGAGGGGGAGAAGGAGGTGATGTGAAGTGCAAGCTGTGAAGCAGCAGCTGCTGATCCAATTAAAAGAGCTAATCCCCAGCAGTGCCCCTGCAGGGAAAACAGCCTCAGAGAGGACCCTGCAGGAAGGCACGGTCATTAGGGCATGGTCCTGGGGTGCCAGGTCTGATGCGACACTGACACTGTTGCAGAACACCACCACAGCAGTCAACCCCACCCAAAGTCCCCCTCCATCACATCTCCAGCAGTGCTATGTGCAGAGGTTGTCCCCAACCCTCGTGGCTCTGCATGCATCCCCAGTGCTCCTCTGGGATGTTTTGTGAGGGAGAAATGTGGGGAAATCAAAGATGGAGGGTCCAAAAGGTTGTGAGTGGAGAAAGATGGGAAAGGGTGAGTGGAGAAGGATAGGTAGGAAAGGGAAGATGTATGGGGAAGGATGGATGGCTGGGGATGGATGGATGGATGGATGGATGGATGGATGGATGGATGGATGGGTGGATGGATGGATGGATGGATGGATGGATGGATGGATGGATGGATGGATGGATGGATGGATGGATGGATGGATGGATGGATGGATGGATGGATGGATGGGTGGATGGATGGATGGATGGGTGGGTGGATGGATGGATGGATGGATGGATGGGTGGATGGATGGATGGGTGGATGGGTGGATGGGTGGAGAAGGGTAGATGGACTGAGGATGAATGGAGAAGGGTGAGTGGAGGAGGGTAGATGGATTGGAGAAGGATGAATGAATGCACAGATGGATGGGCAGATGGAGAAGGGAAGATAGATGGGGAAGGATGGATGGACTGAGGGTAGGCAGATACAGAAGGGTAGATGGGTGGAGAGGGGTGGATGCAGAAACATAAGGAACCCACCTAAGAAGCCCATGGGCACTGTCATCTGGAAGGAGAGTTGAGCCCACCCCTAGCCCCCTGTTGCCCAGCAGATGGATAAGAAGCCCTTCTGCCTCATGCAGGAAGCAGAGGGGATGTTTTGGGTTCTCCTTGGGTGCACAGAAGCTGTTCTACACCAGACGTGGCTGCATCCCTCAGATCCCACCAGTGTTGCTCCAGCACCATTCCTCCAACCAAACCACCCAAAAAGCATCAGTGAGGCCCTGACCAGGCTGTGAGGAGCCAGCAGCTGAGACTGGGGCTTGGCAAGCTGTGAACTCCTCCAGCTCCACCCTTCAGTCCATGCTGCTGCAATGAGTGAGGGAACAGCAGCCAACACAGAAATGTTTTATTGTTCAGTATAAAATTTATGGGGTGTCTTTTATGACAGCGTCCCAACACTGGGCTGCAGTAAAGGGATAACTAAAAGTCTAACTCACAACAACAGAGTGGGCAGTGGCATGAAGCCTGATGGCTGGGGAACAGCTGACAGAGGAAAAGATGGGATGCCACTGGTAGGCAGCCAGGGGCAGGGGATGCAATGGATCTGGGGGATAAGGAAAATTCTGGGAGGATGGGAAAATCACAGCATGCAAATGGCATCCCTGAGGAATTCCAGGTCTTCCTTTAGTACACATGGCACCACGACTAGGACTGAGTGCAAGCACAGTGGCAAGGGCAGAGTGCACTCAGTCCATCCTGGGGCCATTGCACCAGCGTCTTGGCCTATGCAATGTCAGCTGGGCTTCTATACAAGGGACAAAGTGGCAGCAGCATTTCTTGGAGGGAACTGTCTCAGGATGGAGATGTTTCTCCATCACCATCCCCAGTCTGCATTGCCATCATTCCCATCATCTCCATCATCCCCATCGTCCCCACCCCCGTCATCCCCATCTCATCATCCATCCCTGTCCCCAACTCCATTTGCATCTCCATGAAACCTCTCTCCAAAGACATTCCTTGCTGAACCTCACTGCCAGTCTCTAAATCTACCTGCCCAAGGCAGAGCTCAGCAGGGATCCAGGGTGCATTGGCTGGGATGAAGTCCAGCACACCATAATCCAGGCAGAAATTACTTAGGGATGGAAGAGAAATGGTCCCAGGCAGGTTCCTGTGACACTGCTCCTCACAGGTGACATTTCTGCTGGCCATGGAGCAGCTGGTCCCAATCTCCACCTGTCACCCATCTGGGAACAGTGAAGGGGCTCCGTAGCTGATTTCCAACCCAGAGGTGGGTTTGGAAACCTACGTGAGGCTCAGCACCATAGAGATATCCATAGGAAACCTCATCTGAGCTGCACAGCGCAGGGTTTGTGCTGTGTCCCCCAGGAATGAACCCATTCCAAGGAACCCAGCTGAGCATCCTCATTTCCAATGCCGACTTCTTCCGGTAAATGAGCATCAATTGGCCCTCAACTCACTTTAATTAGAAGCACAGAAGCGTGAGTTAATGAGAGTGATGAGTGAGGGGTCAGGCTGTGCTGGGGCAGGCAGCATCCTCCTTTGGCAGTGCTGAATGACTATGCCTTCACCCCAGGGATGTAGCTCAGAGCATCAGATGGGCCCCGTCACTTGGATGATGTCACGGTGCTCCACTGGCCCTTAGATGCTCCGCTGCAGCTGCTTTGCTACCTGCCTGCTGCCCCAGTGCTGATCCTCCATCCTTGGGATGAGCACAGATTTCTGTCCACATCTCAACCCCATGGCAGCAACTCCTGGTCTCTGGGAGCGCAGCAAAGAGCAAACAGGACAGCACTGATGTCCCAAGGTGGGAGCTGCTCACACTGGGCCTTTTACAGCCCAGTCACCTCTCCAAGAGCAGCACATGCACTCACTTTGCAGCTTTCTTAGGCAGCAGTCCAGCATGCCAGAACCTCCCATTTCCTGGCCTGAATTTGCCCCCAGCCTTCACTCGATCCCTGCTGCCAGCCCTGGGCTTGGTTTTCAGCCCCAAATCAACTGCAGCCCATCTGGAATCAGGCTTAGAGCTGCTCTAGGGCAGGGGATGCCCTGGAGGTGGGCAAGGCTCTGTAAATCCCTGCTGGGTAAGGGGTCTGCAAAGATTCCGAATCCACGCAGCCAAAGCATCATCCCCAAACCCTGCTATGCCCCAGTGAGAGGGGAACCACCCCACAAAAGATTGGGGTGCCCTCTGCACCCCTCTTGCCAAAACGGATGCGGAAAGGAGAGCTGGCACTGGAGGGTGAATCAAAAAGGCGCTTTAATCAGATTGATCCGACAGATCCGGATCTCCAAATAAATAGATTTATCAAAACAGAATAAAACAAGAAACTGGGGATAAATACATGTACCCAAACGACCTGAAAATCCCCCAAAGCTATTTCCAGTCTGGGGGAGAGAGATGCTGCTGCACTCCCTCCTCTCCGTGCTGCAGGAATGGCCCTGTTTGCCCTTTGGGAGATGCTCCTCCTGTGAATACAGCCCAGAAGATAGTATGTAGGATATAGATAAATATAGAGCATAATGACACGCTTCGTTAGTGCAGTGTTTGGAGCCTCAGAGCCAGCGAGCGGCGAGTGCCGGAGGTTACATTCTTGCAGGGGGGACAGGGGGACAGAAAGAGGTGGTACCAGCAATCGAGTGGCACCTCCTCCACCCCCACAGCATGAGAAGCAGTTTTGGTGCTGTTGGACCTAAATTTGTGCCACCACCCCATGCCCCTGGCTCCCCTTCATGCTGTCAGCAGGTGGGTCCTCCAAAAACGACATGCAAAGAAGGGAAATGGCCGAAACAGAGCATCCAAGGGAGCTGTGGGTGCCCCTGTTCATCGCGGGGGATTTGGACCAGATGGCCTCTAGGGATCCCTTCCAACTCAGACCATTGTGAATCAGGAGGAAAGACTCAAGATTTTTCAATACCCTTTGGAGGGTATTTGGCAAAAAAACAACAACAACTACTTTTGCAGATCACAGGGCCTCCAAGAAAGGAGACAGAGATACGTCTTCTCTCCTTGCAGGTCATCACGATGCTCCAAAGCACGTTCTCATCCTGCTTGGTCGCTGGCTCCAGTGCTCCCAGAAATGCCTCCTGTCTTCACATTGCACTCCCCCTCTGCCCACCTGGCTCCTTCAGCAGCAGGAGACACGACGGCCTCCTCCAGTGCCACTGGAGCACTCCGAGGGACATCAAGTCGCCGTGGTGGCTTTGGTGTGGACACGGTGGTGGTGGTTGGGTTTGGTTCATCTGCTGGAGCTGCTGCCATTTACACTAGTGTATCTCTTATTGCTGTGCCAGTCTATTGAATAATGCAACTTTTCTTCGTATATATGTGTAGGTGTGTATGTGTGTGTGGGTGTAGATAAATCAATAGCTAGGTTAAAGTTATTTCTTTTTTTCTTTTTTTTTCTTCTTTACAAGTTCTTTGTTTCTTTCTCTGGGCTCTCTGTCATCCTCAGCTCTGATGTCTGGGCTTGGAAGATGTTCCAGTGACCTGGGTGAGCAGAGATGGACGCTGGTTAGCACTCACCCTCAGTTACTGGGATCAGGAAAGCCCATTTGCCCCCTGCATCACACCCACTGCCCCTGGGGCCACTGCCAGGGCAGCTCATCAGCAGCCCCATGAGCTGGAGGCTTTGTCATCTCACAACTACAATGGGTCTGAGGCCGAGAGATGCTCAGGGGTTTTGGTGTCTCCCATTGGAACACCAGGGGCTGCAGCCAGAGATGACTGCTACCCCTTAACCCTTATCCCATAACCACTGTTCCCTACCACTCATCCTTTGCCCCCATCCTCTATCATCTATCCCCTATCCTCCATCCCCTATCCCTTAAATTCTATCCCTTATCAGCTATCCCTGTTCCCTGTCCTCTGCTCCCTGCTCCCTATCATGTTCCTCTTCCCCACCTCCCCTAATCCCTTATCTCTTATCTCCTATCCACCACCCCCATTCCCCATCCCCATGCCCTATTCCCACCCCCTCTCTCCATGCCTTATCTCTATTTCTTATCTTCTTTCCCTATTCCCTTTTTCTTATTCTCGAGTTGGAACTAGACAGGCTTTAAGGTCCCATCCAACCCAAGCTATTCTATGACCAATGATCCTCTATTCCTTATCCCTTTCCCCTTTCCCACATCCCCCATTCACTCTTGCTTATCCTCATCCTCTATCCTCTTAATCTCACCCTCTTTTCCCCACCCTCCCTCCCTCACCCCATCCCCCATCCCCTATTTCCTTTCCCCTTCTTGCTGCGTTTCTACTCTCAAGCAGAGCTCCACAAGCCTCTCACAATGCAATTAACACCTCAATCAACGACTTTTCCAGGGTTTCCTTGTGAAAACACTCCCTGCAAAGCAAAAGCATCACCCCAAAAACAGGCACTGAGCCCCCCCCAACCCCTCCCACTGTTCCCCTAAAGCATTGCTATGCACCTCAGAGATGCTGGAGGAAGCTCAGCCCTTTTCTGCATCCCTTATAGCTGATTGACCTCCCCACAGTCCCAGTGAGGGGCAGAGACCCCGTTCCAGTGTGGAGCCCAACCTGAGAGCAGAGACTTGAAAATCCCACTGCGCTTGGCCACGAGGTGCTGTCTCAAATGGGCTGAAGGTGAAAACCAACCTTCACCTACACCATCACTGGGTGAACTGCTTCATAATGGGCAGCCAATACCCCGAGCCATGGATGCTGAGCAACGCGGGAATGGCCTCGATCCCAGCCTGACCCATTAAACCCTAATCCAGCCCAGGCAAAGAGGCAGCCAAAGGGAAACAGCGCGGCAGTTTCGTTCTGCACAGGCACGTGTGCACCAGCATTCCTCCTTTTTTTTGTAACATTTACGCACATCCAAGAACATTAAGAATGATTTTCAAAGATATTCCAGAGTTTATTTCTTTCAAATCCCTCGCATAATTTCACTCCCCGCCCCGTCACACCAGACGGATCAGATATAAAAACCAAACAGTTTTACGGGCTTTGGAGGGATCTCGCCTTTGCGTTTCACAAGAGCACGTCCACTTTTAGAAAGCTGGCTGCCCTTTGCAATCCCATAAAGAGAAAATGTGACCACTGACCGAGAGCACGGGGTGGTGGGACCCAGCAGGAGGGGAAGGGGGACAAAGGGGCTCTTTACCTTCATTCGTCCTGGTGATCAGCCTGAAGTTCTGTGCTTCTTGCTTGAATTCCTGCTTGCTGATCTTCTTGGTTTGGATCAAGTGAAATATCCCTGCAGAGAGAAGCATGGGGGCATTGCTGTAGGGCTCAGCGTGGCTTTAGTGCACATCTCCACCCCCTCCTCATGCACACAACCCAAGGATTTAGGCTGTGGGGTCCAACAAAACTCATTGAGAGGTTGGGGTGCCCAGTGTAGGACTGGGAGAAATCTCTTTTCCAAACTGCACTGGAGGAGCTCTGATCTCCAAGAAACCATCACAGGGATGAAGCTGGGATCAATGGGATCCCGGATCCCTCTCCTCTCCACTCGCTCTCCCCACGCCACCCATCCAATGGGGGTCTTTCCCACCTCCTTCTGCCTCCTTTTTATAGACTCATTGAATCATTATGGGTGGTAAAGACTACCGTGCCCAGCCCTGAAGCAGCCAGGACCAAAGTTTTTCCATTCCTTTGCCCCCAGCCCTGTAAATTCTCCAGGACAGGAAACGCACGGCTGACCTCAGATGGATATTTCAGCCCACACCAGCACTGTCCCATTCAGGGGATGCCTGAGTCAGATGTCTGACATGAGAAAACCACACATTTAGCAACGGAAGTGACCTTTCCGTGGGATTAGGGGTCAGGATATTCATCCCTGTATGGAAGCATGATGAAGGGGGCAGCTATGTGGGGCACATCCTCCCCATACCTCTCCCAGCTCCTTCCCACGTGCCCCGCATTGCACTGATGTCTGATGTCGTTTCTCTCTGTTTGGGTAAGAGACCTTCCTGCTTCCCAGCAGCAGTTACACATACGGTGAGCGTGTAACGGATGGGAAGCAGCGTGTGATCCATCCAAATGGGATGTTGTGGAGTGTGGAAAGTTAATACGGGAAGTCTTAATGCATCGGGAGAAATATGAGGCCGGTTGGGCTATTAATAAGCCCTGTAAGTGGGTCGGGAAATGGAGTCCTACCAGTAACAAAAGGAGACGCTGGATGGAGATAATAAAAGTGTTAATGACGCAAGGAAGGCACAAGTGTTCCATAAATCCTTCTCTCTATACTTAGAAAGGAGCAGGAGGGTGTGCTCACAGCCCTGGGGCTGATGAAGCACTTTCCACCAGTAACCAGGAGGTTGTTTTAAACAAGAGCCACAAGAGATAAACATCGTTTAATCGACCGACCTGGATAATTTACACTTGAGAGCCCCCGGAGAGCTGGCTGAGATGTGTGGTCTCTGGATGGTCATTTCTGACACATTCCAGGAGCTGGGGAGCCATGGAGGAACGCGGATGTCGAGTCAGCACTCACAAGGGGATGAGAATAGTCTGCTCTTGCTGCCCATGGAATCATAGAATCATTCAGGTTGGGAAAGATCTCTGAATCATCCAGTCCAACTGTCTACCTACCACCAATATTGCCTGCTGACCATGTCCATGAGTACCTAACCCAGGTCTGTAAGTAATGAAAAGCCAACATGGATGGAGCTGGTGAAGAATGAAGATTGTGGGAGGCAAAGGCTGGGCAATGCCAGCAGATCACAGAATCATAGAATGGCCCAGGTTGGAAGGGAGCTCACGGATCACGAAGCTCCAACCCCCCACCACATTTCACAGCAGCCCAGGCTGCCCAGGGCCCCATCCAACCTGGCCTCCAACACCTCCAGGGATGGACGGGGCATCACAGCCTCTCTGGGCAGCTGTTCCAGCCCCTCACCACTCTCTCTCTAAACAACTTCCCCCTGACATCCAACCTCCAGCTGCCCTCCCTCAACTCCAAACCATTTCCCCTCGTCCTGCTGCCATCTCCCCTTGCACAGAGCTGACTCCCCTCCTGTCTGCAGGCTCCCTTGAGGCACTGCAGGCTGCACTGAGGTCACCCCGCAGCTTCTCTTCTCCATGCTGAACAAGCCCAGCTCCCTCAGCCTGTCTTTGTAGGGAGGTGCTGCAGCCCTCTGCTCATCTCTGTGGCTCCTCTGGACCCTCTCCAACAGCTCCCTGTCTTTCTTGTGCTGGGGGCTCCAGCCCTGGACGCAGTGCTGCAGATGGGGCCTCACAAGAGCAGAGCTGATGGGGACAATCACCTCCCTGTCCCTGCTGGCCACCCCTCTGCTGATGGAGCCCTGATTCCCATTTGCTTTCCTGCCCAACAGACTCTGGCATTGAGGAGGATGAGATGGAGGGAGGTGGTGGGGCTGCCTCTTCTCACCCCTCTTGGTGCTTTATACACCACCTCAAGGCAAAAAAGCAGATAGATTCCAATATCATGGAGTGCAAGGAATGAGCTAACAACCAGACCAAAGGACCAGAAATTGCTAATGTCAAGGAAAGACTGATTAGAGGGTGGAGAAGATGACACGGGCTGGAGATGATGGCATCTTCATATGCATCAGGGGAAAGGAGTCTGCTGTCACCAAACACCCAACCCAGAGAGAATTCAAGGGCAGGAGTGTGATCCACGGGGAGGCTGCATGTTGGGAACAGTTCTCCTTAAAGAAAGGGTTTGTGGCTCTGGAAGAAATTATACAGACCATAGATTTTCTGTGGCAGGAGATCTCCAAGCACACATAACAAGAGAATACACCCAGATGGGAACAGCTGAAGGTCCCAGAGCCACAGATTTTCAGGACAAAACAGGATCTTTGGGTCATTATCTAATCCCAGCCTAGCAGTGTGAAAGTGGCCCTGCACCTCCAAATACAGGAGGCAAAGACAAGCCTCTGAACAGTGCTGGTCTCTTTCTGATTCCATCCACTTTGTCCACACTGCCTGCAAAAGTTCCTTCTCCAAAACATCAGAAAGTCACATTTCAAACCTCCTGAGCCATTCAGACCCCTAAAATTGTGGAGAAGCCCACACTGTGACTTGTGCAGGGGCATCATCAGAAAGGTGGGTAGAGGTTTGGGCTGGGTGTTGCTGTCAGTTTCTCTTCTATTTCGGTGCCTCGAGGAGGAAACCATCCAGCACAGAAATAGAGGAGGCCACGTAGGATGGTAAGCCATACAAAGGTGGATGGACAGGCTCCAGGCGTGACTTGCAGGCTCCCTGCTCCACACACGGTGCTCTGTTGGTAGAGTGATGGACCATGGAGAGGTGGAATCCATATGTGACTGAGCTCATGCTCTTTCCCAATAGTAACACTTTGCTCTGCCAAGCAAAAGAGCTGTGTTGGCCTCGGGGACAAGGGCCTCCCCTGTCCTTGGCTGGCAGGGCTCGGGAGCTCCGTGCAGACATGAAGCTTTTGGCCTCAGAAGGTGGCAAGAAGGTTTGGGTGGTGACCTCTGCCAAGCAGCAAGGAGAGGAAAAGAGGGGGGAGAGGGGGGGCCCAGACAGTGCAGCTCAGCTGTCCTCCAGCTACAAGGTGCCATTGTGAAGGAGGCTTCGCTGTGCTGGGGGAGGATGGAGAGAGGAGGAACGTGGGGGATGGAGGGGGGTGGGTGGGAACATGGCGACAGCCACAGCTCCATCTCTGGAGGCAATTTCTCTGATTAATACACATGCACCCACCCAAAGTGGCTGGGAAGACCACGGAATCACAGAATCGTTAAGGTTGGGAAAGATCTCTCAGATCATCTTGTCCAACCAGCCAACTACCATCAATATTGCCCACTAGGGCAACAAGACTGGGAACAGCCCCAAGAGGGATAAGAACTCCTTTAGGGAGTGAAGTGAGACACCTACACACCTAGGAGAGCAGAATATCTGTTTAAAGGTGTCCAGAAGACACCCAGCTCCATGCTCTGAAGGTCGCTGTGTCCACAGGTAGGGCAGAACTGACCCAAAGTGCCCCAAACTTGGGCACAAGTTTTTGTAAGTATGTCCAACGAAGATTTGAGGCTGGAACATTGTTTTGGGCACCCAGGCCCAGAAGAAACAAGACACAAAGATTCACGAGATCATGCAGCTTGGGTGGTGAGCTGGTCCATGAGAGTGTGGCACAGCTAGACGTACACAGAGAGTGCAAAAGATCAGTGTCATTTGAGAGTCTGTACTGTGCTTTGCTGGAGCGTGAACCAACCAAACATCCCAAACCATGTTTCCAAAAAGCAGGCTGGGGCAGCTCATATTCCCTGCATGCAGCTCGGCAAGCTTTGTTCCCAGCAGTTGGTGGATCAGGAACAAGAAAGGGCAAAAGCAAAAATACAGAATGACTACAATACATATTTTTTTTTTCAGTTTTCCATATGTTTGGCATGAAAGCAGGTGGGTTTTTGAGGAAGAACCTCACAGCCTCTGCCTTGTTTGCCCATGCAGAATCATAGATTCATTCAGGTTGGAAAAGACCTCTAAGATCATCTTGCCCAACCACCAACACCTAGTTCAGCCGTCCAAGATGCTGTGCCACCGGATGGTGTTGCAGCTTCTGGCTGGGTACACTGGGATCAAAAGTGGTTTCCAACACCATGCCTGCATGCAACAACAGCAAAAGAGTGCAGAAAGTGGAAACAGAAAAGCCAGCCTGCTGTCAGCAGGTTTTGACTTCGTGGGCATGGTGGTGATGGGTTGATGGTTGGACTTGGTGATCTCAGTGGTCTTCTCCAGCCTTAATGATTTATGATTGGAAAGCAGCACATGTCCAAGCAGATCTCCATTGCTGGCTGGCTTTGTTGTGGGACTCACCTTTAATCAGCTTCCAGTTATAGATTTCCACCTCTTCCGTGAGCTCCTTCTCTATAGCGACTGTCCTCAGGATCTCCTTGGAGTTCTCGGAGCTCGGTGGCACAAACATGTACACCAGGACGTGGTTGGGGGTCTTGCCACATCTCTCAGTGATGATTTCATCAGTGGGTTTGACTCTGGTTTCTGGGCACAGACAAGAACAGTTCATTAAATAGGGCAAGAGCAACACGAAGGAGGTGGAGGAGGTTCCTGAAAGGCTGGAAGAGAAGGCTCAGACCTGGGGTTGGATCCCAACAGACACAAAGACATCAAGGCTGGAAGCAAAGGGAGGTGTTGATAAAAGGGAATGTTGATAAAGGGTGATCTCGACAAAGGGAGATGCTGACAAAAGGAGATGTTGACAAAGGAAGACGTTGATAAAGGGTCTGTGGAGTTGCCTACCTCCGTAATTTCAACTCCCCTTGGTTTTAGCAGCCCCTATAGCAGCAGTGATGGAGCAGGGCGATTTTCTCCACCTGCATCCCTTCTAACCACCACCTTGGTGCCAACACCATGCAGCAAAGCCCAACCTTCCCATCTCCCTCCCATCCCACAGAAGCAACGTCAGTGAGGCAGAGGGATGAGCCCACAGCACGGGAGCCAGCACCGTGGCTGTGCTGCCTGGGCACAGTGCCCAGCCCAGCCCCACGGGTGGGCTCAGCCCCAAACTGAGCCCCCTCCCCACGCAGAGCTCCTTCGCGTTGGTCCAGGCACGCAGCAATTGGGACAACATCTCCAGGACCCTGTGTGACTTCTCCAACACCCTTGGGTGAAGAAGAGACGCTCATTTCTTGTTGTTGTTGTTGTTGTTGTTTCTGGAGTAATGAAGAATCCCCCACGGTTTTGGAAGGAGATTTATTGCCTTTGGTTGTGGTCCTTGGAACGCAGAGGAGCTCAGCTGAATTTAGCCTTGTTCTCCCCCGTCGTTTTGGATGCTGGAGCTTTTTACACTACTCGAAAGAAAGTTTGGCTATAAATAGAGACCTGGGGTTTATTTTAGTAGGACGGTTATTTTAGGCCTGATTCTGCCCTCCCCATGCTTTCTGGGGTGATCCTGAGCTACTCTTGGCACACACCGGTAGAGAGGGGATGGAAATTTCAATGTAAAGAAGCGCAAAGCAGGGATTTTTCAGCAACAAGTGTTCAATTTTGCAGCCCCAACGAGACCCAGGAGGACAACCAGGTGCCACTACCCTCACTCACCCCTGTCACCACGGGATCTGGGTGCAGAACCTCCATCCCTCACATTTCATCTGCGCCAGGGCTGCTTTTTGCAGCCCCACATCCACAACCAGCAAGGAGCCACATGCTCAAGGAGCCACAAGCTCACAGCTTTACACCAGAGCCACTTGATGGCCAACACGTCAAGGAGGAGAAGTAGGGACCCTTCTGGCCACCACTTCTCCCCACACCAATGGTGGCTGTTTCCCAACCAATGCATTCGCAGCAATTTCCCTTTTGCAAACAGAAAGCAGGCAGCATTTCCCTCCAAGCTACAGCGTACAGAGGAGCAAGAGGAGGACAGGACCATGGAAACTGCCTGGAAAATGACGACGGCAAAACCACCATGCAGTGAAGGAAAGGACAAGCATGTAACTTGGCTGAGCATTGTGTGTGTGTGATTGCTATCTATGAGTACTGGAAAGTCACTTTGGCTGGGTCAGAGTGTTTAACTGGAAATAAATGAAGTCTGAAGAGCAGACAAGAGATCCCAGAAGAGAAAGTTGTAGACTTTAAACCAGAGAGAACTGCTATAATGGGAGTGCAAGACTGGAAAGGATCTGCTCAGTCATCACATCCCATTCCCACCAGGCACCACGTCATAAATCCTGCTCATAAACATATCAGAAATCTTATTAAAACAAGCTGAGATTCTGCCCTTTGCTCCCCAGGGGAGGCTGTCCCAGCACCTCCCTGCTTGGCAGGGGAAAACCTTGAAAATCCCAACTGAGATTGCTGTGCAGTCTATTTGCCCCCATTCCTCAACCTGACAACGTCCCTTGCTTGTTCTGCTGGTGAGACCCGTCCATCAAGTTGTACATCTGAGAAGATGACCCAGCAATTGCCACATCTGCAGGCAGGCTCATGTATCTTTAGCCTCTCTATGGAGAGGTTGTCCGTCATCTGAACATCCAGTACAGAATGATAATGAGAAGAGGTGCAACCTAGAGAACATTCTCCATTGGAAACAGAGAAGATCCGAAGCTATGCCACATTTGTACCAGGTCTGGTGTTGTGGGTACACAGCTTTTCAAAGGCCAGGAAGCAGCTGAGAGACCCCAGATCCACTGCATATGAGAAGAAGACGTCACTTCACCACTTCCCAGCCCCAGGACCAGCCTTGCTCCTCCTGGCTCACACCGATGGCTACATGGCAAACCCTCCCTTTCCAGGGATGGAGACATCAACTCCAGCTCAGCCCAAACCATGGGTGCCACAGCACCTGGACAGTGTCCTTCTGATTTCAAACTGCCACAGTTAATCCACTAAATTTTGTTCCAAAGCCTCAACTGAGGGCTGGAGAGCAGACTGAGCCCTCTCCCCTCCCTGCTTGTCTGAAGACTGTTAGCACGTGGCTCTTCAGGCATCTTTCTCCATTCTACAGCCACTTAACGCATGCAACATTTTGGGATCAGTTTCCTCATCTCAGTTCAGTCCAAGACAGACTTACATCACTGTGTTCTGCAGAACTCACCTGGCATGAATTCAGTGATGTGAAACCCTATACATCCTTATGCCCAGGGCTTTAAACTGAAGCTTGAGGAAGGAAATGGAGGACAGCTGCAGGAGCAGGTAGGATCTCACATACCTGGACATATTTTACAGCACTTCCCATCTACTTTTTCCGGAGAGTCACACGGATACTCCTTGGGGCATGTGATCTTCTGGCAGTCCTGGACACCATCCCTGCAGGTGCACAGGATGCAGGGCAGGAGCCCATAGAGCCGGAAGACGGGGTGCCACACTTCTCCATGGGAGTAGGTCTTCCCATTGTAAACACAGGCTGGAGGAGAGAGAAAAGCGATGCCAGTAGGAATAAATCCTCCTTCTCTCCATACATCCAAGGCCTGCTGGAGCTCAACAGGTTTCAACATCTCACAAACGAGTGGCCCTGCAGCCTTGAGGAGCACAACCCTACATCCATGAGGACTGTGGCCCTACACAGTGAGCGTGGCCCCGTGGCGTTGAGGATCATGACCTACCAACAAACCTACCTGCAGAGTGACGTGGGGACATCACAGCCTCCCCAACCAGGAGGTGCCATGGGACATGGGGACCAGGCTGCAGAAGGTGGAGGCTGCTGGGGTCAAGTAGGGTTATGGGGCAGCTGTGGGCAGGAGCTCACCTGTCTCCTGACTTCTATGAGCCCAGGGTCCCTCCAAGGCCTCCACCAGCACCAAGCACAGTGAAGAGTGCCACCTGCTGACTTTTGCATGCAAATTTTTGGAGGTCCCAGAAATTTCCTCCAGGGCTTCATCTCCAAAGACTGGAGAGAGCCTTTGTGGAAGCATGGTACTGGGAGAGTCCCCAAGAGGAGAAGGGACCCCTCTCCTCCCTTTTGGCTCCATGCAGTTTCCTCCCCATCTTTGCCTTCCAGGAGGAAGCCAATGGCACCACGATGGACCCATCACACTGAAGGCAGTTGCAGGAGGGAACCCCCTGTCCCTCTGCAGCAGAAAGACCATAGAAGGATCATGTGAGATCTTTCAACTGAACACCTCCCTTCCTAGGACCCAGATCTCCAAAACATCCCAAAGTTTGGCCTTCCTCCAGCCCAGAGGTTGGAGATTCATATAGAAAAGGGATTGTGATCCCAGGGTCAGGGCCACCAGGGCCACCAGGGCTGAGACAGCTGTGTGAGTGAGCAAGTTGGGGGTCATTGTTGGAAAGCTGCTTTTGAAACAGCTTCTCTTGAACCCAGAGTCCTGGAGAAGGCAATTTAGGAGACACAGAGACCACCTGGCCCCTCCCCTTACCTTTCTTGTGCTTCTCTTTCAAAACGATCTTCACGGTGGTGCCACCTCCCCCCTTGGGTTTGAAGCTCCTGGGGATGAACTCCAGCGAGGAACTGAGCACGGTGGATGCGGTGGCTCCAGGTGGCTTTCTGTTCATTGCTTCCCCCAAGCACTGGTCTTGTGAGTGCCTCTGGGAACAGTCAGAGAAAACAAGGGGACTCAGACCCAGGTGGTTTGGTTGTTCTCACTCCATGCTGCAAAAAGCCACAGAACGGGAAGGTTCAGAGACTGCAGGGATGAGCAATGAGCAGGAGCCATCCCAGTGCCATTAAATATGTCTAAGGAGTGACGAGCAGTTAGTCCCAGTGCCCCTCATTGCTGTCCTCTGTAGGGCTGCATGTGGGTCACCTTCTCTCATTGTGGCAGCATCAACACAATACCTACATCCAAGGTTATACCCTCATGGTGTCCTACACTGTCATTTGGGGTCCTACACTGGTAGGGAAATGGGCAACTGAGGCCTGGCATCTGTATGATGGAACCATAAGGATCGGAGAGGTGAGCATGGGCTGTATCCTGCCCTCTCACCTGCCTGGTACCAGGAACATTGTCAGCTGGCAGGAATAAAATCCCTGGAATATCCCAAGAGCAAAGTGCTGGGACAAGACATGCAGCACAAAGGGTCTCCTTGTGTCTATTTTGGAGGTTTTATAGGTGGTGGAGGTGTGACGCTGGCGTTTCACCCAGCAGTATGGAAAAGGGAAGGGCCAGGAGCTGTAAGTGACCTACTCCCAAAGAGTTGGCATGGGCTGCCCAGCCTCGAAATGTCACCGTGAATGAACTCTGAGCAGCCAGGGAGTCACTTTTTCCTTGCTGGGGCTGCTGATACAAACAGCCTGGGGAAAGCATGCTCATGGCCAGCTCCAGTGTTGGAGGTACGAACGGGAGGAGGACACCCTTGAGCTTGGGGGGAAGAGTAAAACCCAACATCTGAAGCAAAAGCTCTCAAAGATAGATTTGGGCCACCCGACTCCATGGGTAGGGGCCACGTATGACTGTCAGTCTCATATGAATTTCTCTGTTCAACTCCTTCACCCATTTTAACCCACTGGCCAATCAAGAGAAGTACCCAAGTTTTCCAGTTCCCACAGGTCTTCTGCTCTTCCAGGACAGCAGAGATGTTCCAGAGGAGAGGACAAGAGTCCTAACAGCTCAGTCTATGCTGAGAGCCCTCACCTAAAGCCAACTCCCAAGCAGGACTCAGCTGCAAACCAAGTGTCCGTGGTTCTACTGCCCACAAAGCTGGGTCATTTCTTGTAAAGCTTATAGCCAAGGGCAAATAGCTTTCTTTGAGATGTTTAATGGGGCCTGTGTTAGAAGAAACAAACTGAGTTTTAAAATGTAAATGTCACGTACAACACCTCTGTTTAACTGCAGGGGTTCCTCTTCCGAAGACTTCTCATAGGAGCCATCTGCAAGCAAAAAACATGGTCCAGTGAAATACTGCAGAGATGGATGAGGATTTGTTCACTGGGGTCCAGATGACTGAAAGCAGCTCTCTGCAGGGTGCTGAACTGCCTGTGAGCTCTTGGAAGAGCAGAACTTTGCAAAATGGGATTCACATCACCCAAAGCAAATGGGAGCACGGCTTGCCTGTGTCACAGCCCAAAAATCCAAAGCAAATGGGAGCATAGCTGGTCTGTGTCACACCCCAAAAACCCAAAGCAAATGGGAACAGGACTTGTCTGCGTCACACCCCAAAAACTCTTTTATCCCCACTGACAGCTAACAAGAGCTCAGCTCTGAGAAAGGCAGGACCTTGCGTACTGCTGAGGTTAGGTGGCATAGAAACACCCTAGAGATTAAGTACAAGGTGGTGGAGATGGTGTGGCATTAAAAATAAACCCTTTGGGGCTATTGGGGCATTTCAGATGAAGTGCTGAGTCAATGACGTGCCTCAAGTGCAAGGGCAGCTCTGGTGGTGCCCACAGCTCTGTGAATTCTGCTTGTTTGGTGTCCCACAACCAACTCCACCTGGACCAGGCTCTGGTTTTCCCAAGGCATACAGTGGCTGCAAAGGACTTTAACACGTCTGGCCCTCATTTAAGGCTTTCTGTAGGACATGAGCTCTTCTAAAAGGATGCTGTCCCAGAGCAAAACATCACACTCTGTTCAGAGCAATCTCTTTGCTTGTGGTGAGGTCACCAAAGCCTTACAGATGCCACCAAACCAAGCACCAAAAACTCAACCAAGGCCATGCTGCACTGAGGTGGAAAAGGACTCTTTCCCAGGCCCTGGTCATTCTGGAAACTCTCCTAGTGAAACAGCATGCACCACTCTTAATACATGGCCAATTAAACTACATCCATCCTAGTGGGCAAGTGATCTGGAGGATGTTGTCTTCTGTTCAGGTCACATCCCTTGCATGATGCAGCAGGGGTGGGACAAAGTGCATGGCCAGTGTATGGGCTGTAGGGGGGTTGGACACAACTAAGTGCTAGAGAGGTAGCATAGGAGGAAAAAAAGGAACTCTTGTCTTTTCTTTCCTGGTGTGACTCAGACATAGCAAGTGGCCTAAATTACAAGCTGGACTTCCAAAACCCTGCTGAAGTTCCTTGAAATAGTTGCTGTCAGGTAGTGGCAATCCTGCACCCATAGTCCTTGCTCAGGAGCAGCTCCTCTTACCTTTGCAGACCTGGCAGCAGGAATCTGGCACGGTTAGGGGATTGGAGCACAGCAGCTCTGGGCAGGTCACCAAGCCACAGTAAATCTGGCCTTCCTAAGAGAGAAGAGCAAAAAAATATATATATTGTCAGCATTGCCAATGTCCAGACAGAGCTATGAGCACCCAGTGTTGGGGTGCCAACACTTCTGATTGTAGATCTGGCATAAATCATCAGCACCCCAGAGTACCATCCTCAAGTATCACTAATCACTCAGTGATTGAACGCTGAAAATCTGCTCCCACCACTCTTCAACTTGCAGGACATGGCATGGTGGCCCTTTTCTAGCAAAGCTGGATCCCACTGCCAACCCCCATGCTCACAAGTGGAGGGGGTGGGTGAGGATAGGTAATGCTCTGATCTGAGACATCATTAGAGCTATCAGAACTGGAACAGCCACCACAGATCTGTGAACTCTGCATAGCACCAGCTTAGATTGGCACGAGAACCTGTTTTCTAATACAACCCAGGATGAGGACCTGCTGGAAAGGGGAATCGCAATGCTGAGCCCAGAGCCTGCTCTATCTCACAGCTCTGCCCTCTCTCTCATTCAATAACTCCAGAACAGAGCACACAAAGATACTGGACCAAGAGCAACGGATGGATGGTCCGATGTGGGCCTTCCTGACTTGGTGGCTGGTTTGGAAAAACAATGAAAAGCTGAAAACCGTGGAGTAAAGGCCAGTGTTGATGCTTGTGCACCCCAGTCCTACACTGCTCAATGGAATTGCAACCATTTGCTGCAGGGACGAGTTTTTGCTGCTTTGCAGGATTGAAAAAGATATCAGCAGCCCAGAAGCAGCCAGATCCCACCAGCAAGGCTCTCTTCTCCATGCTGCAGTGTTCTCCAAAGCATCACCAAGCTCTTGGTCAATGGAAAACAAGTTAATCCAGAAAACCAAATCACAGCAGCATCCCTGACCATCCAAAGCCAAGAGACAGTGCAGGGGACACAGAGAGGAGGCTGGAGGTCTGGTGGATCACATGGAGATCACAAACCAAAGCCTTCAGGAACATCCAATGGGGTCCAGACCTACAGGGAGAAGGATCAGGCTATAGGGGCATGCTCTTCCTTCTTCTGACCAGCAGGTCACAGCCAGGGCCTGCCCTGGGTGAGAGAGAACACGTCATACGAAGCAGGGTTTGAGCCAGAGGCTCTGGTCTCAGGATGCTTTTCGAAGCTGTTTCCACCAGCTGTTCACGCAGCTGTTCTAACAGCTGAGATCAGACTGCAAGACCCCACCACTGCAGGGCTCCACGGTCATCCTTTTATTTTCTGCTTTGTATCCAAGGCATTATCCTACCCAACAAACAGCTGGAGTGAGATCCAGTGCCTCCAAGAGCGATAGCCAGGTCTGTGTGTCCCCACATCTGGTGATGGTGGGGTCAGACAGCACATGGGGTCAGACTGAGGGCTCCTTCCTCAGCATTTGTCCCCATCAGAGAGTGGTCTAGCATCCAGCAAGGGTTGGTAAGAGAGGAACAAGCCCTAAAAGCTGTTTAATTTCTAAAAGTATGAGCTATTGCTCTTGCCACCTGGTTCCAAGTTTAGCCAAAGACCAAGGGCTAAGAGCAGGTATGCCAGATATCAAAGCTAACCCACCACTCAGCAGTAGCCACCAGGTGCATGCTCTTGGCACGATGGAGTGATGTGGGGTGGAATTGCTCCCCCCTCTTTCTTTCCTGGTCAACATTAGCTTAATTCTTTGCTGCAAGCAGAACACAGAGCAGTGGAGCCTGGCATCCCCCAGAGCTGTGTGTGACAGCTCGTGAAAGCCATGTCTGTGCCCGCTTCTTTTTGATGGCATTATCCAAGTCCAGCAACACCACTCCTAAGCTCCCTTCCTCAAGAAGGAGGAACCCCCCCCATTCATCTCCTAACACTCAGCTCCTGGCTCGTGCAGCCCCATGCTCTGTACACATTCACCATCACCTCTGGCCAGGCTGCTTTGTGCCATCCCAAGAGAAGTTTGCCACTTTTCAGTGGGTTTTTGTAGGATTCCAGCCTGTAGAAAAGGGCAGAGTGGAGCAAGCCCTGTCTCAGGACATCACTGGAGGGATTCCTCTCTGGTGAGGCAGAGAGGTGGTAGGTAAACAGCTCTGCAATGAATGCCTCCAGTCTATCTGCCATCACCTCCAGGATGAGCTCCACCACACAGGGCAGAAGCTCTTCCTAGAGGCACAATACCCCAACACCAGTGGTTGGGAGACACTAAATCATATCTGGAGTTCAACTCTGCTCCACTCCAGGCTCTTCATCCCAATAATTCCTGAGGCCCAAGAGCTGGCACCTCATGTCCATGTAACCTTGCAGGCAAGACGAGCTCTCCCAATCCATTTTGCAACAAACTTCATCTATTTTGCAGCAAATTCACATGCAGAAAGGCTTCTGGCTCTCCTTTTCCAAAGAATCAAGGAATCGTTAAGGTTGGGAAGACCACTAAAATCATCAAGTGCAATTGTCAACCCATCCCCACTGTGCTCATTCATAGAATCATAGAACCATCATGGTTGCAAAATACCTCTAAGATCCTCAAGCCTAACCTCCACCTACTCTCAATATAACCACTAACCACATCCCTCAGTGCCACATCTCCATGGCTCTGGAACAGGGACAGAGACCCCACCACTTCCCTGCACAGCCTGCACCAATGCATCACCACTCTTTTGGAGAAGAAATTTTTCTTAATATCCAACCTGAGATGTCTTGAGACATCTCAGTGGGGCAGGTGAGATAGCTGAATGCTATCCTCTGGGACAAAGCTTTGCCCGCTGTGCACCCTAAGGAACCTTAGCCTAGGACAGGTCCATGGATTTCCATCAACCAAGAGACGTGACCAGATGTTCAGACTGATTTTCCCAGATTGCTCCTGCAAAGCTTTTTGACACTGCAGGATAATTGCAGAGCCCAAGCCCTCCCAACCCAAGGGCTCATCGCTGGCTTACAGAGCAGCTACACTGCACACACTGGTTGGGCTGGCGGCTGGGGAAGAGCTCACTGGTGGTGAACATCTCTCCTTGCTGGTACGTTGTCCCATTGTACTGGCAGGATCTGACAGGTGCTCGGAGACCAGAAGGGGAATTTGGCTCTGAAAGGGAGGAGAAGAAGAGCAGAGAGGTGAGAGCCAGCCCCCCGCCAGCTTGGGTGCTCAAACTGATTTCCCCCCCAGCCCAACCCAGAGAACAAGGAGCTTTGAGACATCATAGTTATTATGAAGAAGTGGTCAGGGCAGGGCACAGCTTGTGAGGACTCAGGTGCCTGAAAGCTTTTGGAGAGTGGAATTGCCCTGACTGCAATGAGCTTGCCACAAAGGTTTAACCTGGACGGATGTTGTTCATTTTTAGCTAATTACCCTTGGGAGAAGCTATTTGCATAGAATCATAATTTGTGTTGGAAGAGACCTTTAAAGGTCATCCGGTCCCACTCCCCATCAAGGAGCAGGGACAAGCACAGCTCAGAGCCTGGAGCTTTTCATCTGACTCTGGCTGATGGTAGAGATCATCACATCCAAGAAAGGAAAAAGATTTTTAAAAACCATGCAAGATCTTCAAAAAAATTCTTCCTCCTGTAGCCAGCACTTTCTCTAGTCAAATGATCTGCTTCATGTGCTGACTTCAGACTTGTCACTGATCTGTGATCTGATGTTTTGCCCCTACAAGGCTCCTTAGGCTGGGGGGGAGCTGGAGAAAGCAATTTGTTAAAGGGTCCTTTTACAAAAAAGTGACATTTTTGTGCGGGCTAGAGCAATGCCATCAGCCTGAGCTGCCATTGCTGCCATGACCTCAAGACCAAACCCAGAACCACTGTGCAGCTCCTCAAGCACTCAGGCGATGACAACGAATCTATGTCCAAAAAACAGCTGTAAGCAAGCCTGTGACTCAGTTTCTCTGCTTCCTTCCTATGAAAACCAGAGGGTACAAGGAGCTTTTGTGTCCCTGGCACAGCACGGGCATGGAGGCCACAGGGAGTGATCCACCCTCTAAAATCAGTCCAATCATCAACCCATCAGAGCCATGTCTACACCCAGAGTCATAGAACCACAGATGGTTAAGGTTGGCAAAGACCTCCAAGACCCCCAAATCACACCCACCGTGCCCACTGATCAGGTCCCTCAGTGCCACATCCCCATGGCTCTTGAACACCTCCAAGGACAGTGACTCCATCACCTCCCTGGGCAGCCTGTGCCAGTGCTTTATCACTCTTTCAGCAAATAGCTTTTTGTTTATATCCAACCAGAACATCCCCTGGTGCAACAAAAGGCCATTACCTCTCCTAAAATTCCCCTTTGCTCCTGTCATTCCCTCCCCATGGGATGGCCCCGTACCGAGACACCGTGGGCAGCACTGCTGGGGGTCCGTGACGGGGCTGGCACATTGCAGAGCAGGGCACTGGATCCGATAGCACCTCGTGTTGCCATTCTGGGGAGAGACAAGAGCGATCCTTTCAGCTACACATCTATCCCCCAAGGAAAGAAAGAGCTTCCCAAAGCTGCCCCTTTCTTGGAGTTCTTCTAGGGGAAGAGGCTGTTGCATGATAGCCCCTTTAGCACGACAGATGGTGCTGGTGGAACTCAGCCAACCGAGGCTTCACAGATTCATAGAATATCCCAAGTTGGAAGGGACCCACAAGGTTCATCGATCCAGCTCCTGGCTCGCCATCCTCAGCTCAGGCTCGCTGCCAGTTCATGATTTCCTCTATCATCACTAATGATCACCCATGGTCCCAGTGCAGCCTTGAGCCACCTCCACCCACAGCCCACCAATGCTGCCGAGACGGCTCCCTCACAAGGTCAACCCAACATCTGTGAGGGATATGGGGATTTATCAAAAGCAAATATGCTAATCTAGTGGAAAGCATCTTCTCTTGTCAAATTAGACACCAGAACCAACTGGGAATGCCCTGGTTGCCACCTCTTAGGGCAATGCATGTGGGACATACCTCAGAGCAGCTGCAGCGGATGCAGTACATCAACCCCTGCGGCTCCAGGTAGGGGTGCCAGCTCTCACCTGGGCTGTACTTCTTGCCATTGAAGTCGCAGAACATATCTGGCCCTGAAAGCCAATGGGGAGAGACTACGTGAGAGAAGGAATGGCCCTCAGGAGAGCTCTCCTTCCTCTGTGATGATCAGAGCAAGGAGGGATCAGTGGCTTCGTGCCATCACCCATGAGTAGCTGACAGTCACACCCCATCCACCCAACCCCAAGGTGAAGACATTCATCAAAACCATTTTTTAACTATAAAGGGTTTCTTTATGCTGACGAGGAACAGAATGTATGTTGTTGAGGCATAAAATAGTACTGTACTTCTAGAACAAGTCAGAATAAACCCTCATTTGAAGGCCGGCAGGTGTTTGCAGGTTGACACAATGAGATGGAGTTTCCCCCAGGAAAACCAGAAGGGCTGTGAGTGGTGGGGAAGAGAGGAGAGTCTGAGTTTGGGAGAGAAGAAGAAAGGAAAAGGGAATAAGAAGAAATGAGAAATGAAGAATAGAAAATGGAAAAACGGAAAAAAGGGTAAATAAAAAATACATTTTGGAGTGGAAAAGACATTTGGGAGTTGAAAAGCGTTTTGAAGGAAAGCTTTTGCTCTCTGTAAGAGAGATTTGAAAGATCCCTTGACAAACACATCAGCGCAGGGAGGATGGTGCAGTCTTGCCCAGTCCCACCAGTTAAAGTCCCCTTGGCTTCACTGGGCTTCAGGCATCACTGGTTGGGATGGTGTTGGTTGAACCAGTCTCTTCCTTTATGGGGCTGTCCGTGGGAACAGCAAGTTCACCACTGAGACATCTCCACCCATTCCTCACTCTTGCTGGTAGAAAAGCTGTGGCTCTGCACAAAGGATGATCCCAAACATGACATCAACCTTTCCCTGCCAGTCTCTGCATGAGAAATATATACTTGTTGCCCCAGAGGGTCAGCAAGCCCAAGGGGCTCTTACAAAAAGGACATTTGTGTGAAAAGACAATGCTCAACTCACCATAAAAAGCCAGCAATTTTAACATGTCCCAACTTTAAATGGAAATATTTGGGAGATGCTGAAAAACCACAGGCTGACCAAGTCAAAACTTCACCCCAAAAGCCACAATTCACAATTTTTCCATTCCTCTCTGATCCTACCATCATGAGAAGAACCAGACTCCAGCTTCTGAACTGGAGGCTTCCATCCCAGAAATGATGCAGCCCTCCCTCTGCCAGGATGGGTCCAACCATGCCATGGCACAGGGACGCGAGGTGTCAGACACCATCAGGGCAGGAGATACCCTTGGGAGATCCCTTCTCACCCCAGATTCCAGCAGGTCCCTAGCAGATCTCCTCCAGCTCCAACTCTTTGCTTGCACACCCTCGGGAGGATGAGGACCAGCATGCAGCAGGACTTGTGGGTCCATACCCCCCAACAACAACCCAATTCAGCCATCCTTAATGCCCGCATCAAACAGCCCCACCTGGCCCTACAGAACTGAGCCAGACCTACATTAAAACAGACCCCATAACTTCGCTGCAGCCCGGTGGCTGCCCCTGCTATCCCATGACGTGTCCCCAAACAGCTGGAGGGAAGCACCAGTGCTTCTGTTGTGAATAAGCACATGCCTGACCACGCATGTTATTAGTGCTGTAAGTGCTTACGGCCCCACTAAAACTGGAGGTGATTTAAAAGATTATGTCATTGAGGGGATTTGAGGTAGTTTGGGTGATGACGTGGCTGAGATGTTTACATTCCCTGAAGCATTTACAGGCCTTTAAAATCTTACAGAGCCCTAGGGGAGAGGGCAGAGGGGGGCGGCTGTTTGCAGGGGCATGGCACCCAGCTCCTGCCACCAGTACTGGAGTTGCCACCTCCTCATTGCAAGTTCTCCCAGCAAGCAGGCAGCATTCCTAGGAATACACTGTGGTGGGCTGCCACCCCTTCTGCCAGCTCCTGAGCATCCTCAGGATGAGCCCAATGGGTGCTCTGCCACTGCCAACTTCTAGCTCCTCGTTGAGTTCATAGAATCATAGACTCATTAAGGTTGGAAAAAACCTCTGAAATCATCACATCCAGCCCCAAACCATCCTACAACACCCACTGACCACGTCCCTAAATGTCACATCCCCATGATTCTGGAACACCTCCAGGAAAGGTGATTCCCCCCTCCCTGGGCAGCCTGTGCCAGTGCCTCACTGCTCTTACAGAGAAGGATTTTTTCCCTAATATTCAACCTGAACCTTACAGCAATGTGAGGCCATTCCCATCATGAGATTCTCCAGGTTGTTTCTTCAAAGGCAGGGGAAGGGAAGCAGAGAGGAGAGGAGGGGAGAAGGAAGGGAGGAGGGAGGAGGGAAGTAGGAGAGGGAAAGTGAAGGTAGGGGTGAGGAAGGGAAGGGAAGGGAAGGGAAGGGAAGGGAAGGGAAGGGAAGGGAAGGGAAGGGAAGGGAAGGGAAGGGAAGGGAAGGGAAGGGAAGGGAAGGGAAGGGAAGGGAAGGGAAGGGAAGGGAAGGGAAGGGAAGGGAAGGGAAGGGAAGGGAAGGGAAGGGAAGGGAAGGGAAGGGAAGGGAAGGGAAGGGAAGGGAAGGGAAGGGAAGGGAAGGGAAGGGAAGGGAAGGGAAGGGAAGGGAAGGGAAGGGAAGGGAAGGGAAGGGAAGGGAAGGGAAGGGAAGGGAAGGGAAGGGAAGGGAAGGGAAGGGAAGGGAAGGGAAGGGAAGGGAAGGGAAGGGAAGGGAACCAACAACTCATCATCAAAAGGATGAGAAAATGACTTCATTTCTCCCTGCTCGCAGTATCTTCATGAATTATGCTGAGGGTGAAGAAATCAAGTTGCCTGCATGTGACACAGCCCCGCTCGGCTTGCAGGCTCCCATGCCAGTTGGCTGCTTCGTCCAAACATTTAATCACTCGCTTTTCACAAGTGGAGACCTGGTTTGGGTCCAGCCCTCGAAAGCAGCCTGATTCATGTCTGCAGAAGGCCTGCTGGTAAAATGAGAGCCGAGTGGCAGCGCCGGGCAGCAGCAGACGCTTGTCGGCATCTCAGCAGCGCTATGCCGCGTAGTTGGCAAGAGACGTATGCCTATTTGGTTAAAAGCAAGCTGGGATGGATGGAAGGAGGAGGCTTAAAAGCTGGAGGCTCTGGATCATTTTTTCCCATGCCAGGCTAATAATTTCATTTTCAGAGGTTGACGTTTGGATATCTTCCCAATTCGCTGTGAGTGAAAAGCCATTTGTGGCAGTAAATTGCTCCCGTGCCTTTCAGTCTCCTTATTTATTGCATCTACGGCAATAGCACGCTCACAAAAGTCATCTTGTTTTACTTCTCATGTTCCAAGGAGGGCTCTTGAGCTGCAGAGCACTTTCAAGGCTGCAGCATCAGAATCCAAAGCCACTACTTTGCTTTTCTTCCCAAAGCGGGACTCCACGATGACAGAGCAGAGGACCAGAGCCCAGCCTGGCCCACGCCACCCCAACACAATCACAGTTTGAAGCTTGCTCCTCACTCACATGACCCTGTGTGACCTGAATATGAGGAGCAGAGGTGCAAAGAGGTGAGCTCCCCATTCCCAAACCTTCCAAGATCAGCTCCCATTTGACCACTTTCTTATCAAACACAGGAGCCCTCCTTGTAAGATCCTTCTCTTCTGCACACTGTTATGAGTTGTGTGCATCCCTGACCTTTTGCCATGGCTCCAATACTTTCTTGGGTGAACACCATCTGCTTAAATCCAATCACTAACTGCCCCAACAAGGGCCATGGCCCAGCCCAACTCACAGCCAAACCAATCTGGCACAGGCTGTCCCCAAACAGTGCCCAGGCATTTGGCAAAGCCCAGGTAGGCACTGGCCAACACCATGCTGGGGAGCGTGCCAGGAGCACGACTCTGACACCCCTGGTCAACACTTGAGGCTCTGCCCAGGGCTTATTGACTTTAATTATCATTAATTATCTTCAGTTATCATTAATTATCATGAATAGCATCCTGAGCAGCAAGGGCAGCATGTGACATGAGACGGATGGGGTGTAAGGTAAGCAAGGGCTGTTGTAAAGAAGAGAGTGATCACTGGCCAAGACAGGGACAAAAAGGACATAGAAGCATCAGCCTGTCCTCCTTCCCCCTTCTCTCTTCCCTTTCCTCTTCCCTTCCTTCTCCCCTCTCCTCCTCTTTGCTTCCTACCCCTCTGCCTTTGGAGATACAACCTGGAGAATCTCATGATGGGAATGGCAAAGCCTGGGTGGTTAGATTTAAGCACCAGAAGATTTAAGCACCAGATGAGGCTATTGAGGTTCTGAGATGCTGCGTGAACCCACTGGAGCAGCATCTTCATGACGTGATCCAGAAACACCAGCCTGAGGTGATAAACTCAACAGGATGGAGAAATCCCTTCTCTTCTGCCTTCAGTGACCACTGAAAGTCCTTCAACCTGAGAAAATCCCACTGCTGGGGAGCAGAGATGTCATCCCACATCCTCACGTCCCAGTAAGAGACCACAAACCAAAGGGAGCCCACACTGATACCCCTCAGCCTCCCTTAATGGATGCGCAAGACCCTTATGGACCATCAGTCCAGCTGATGTTGGTCATTCCATCCCTGGACATCTCCTGGACTTGTTCAAGTTCCCTCAGGACAGCATGTCCTTGGGACCTGTCCCTTGAAGCTCTCCCATCCCCTTTGCACTGCCCATGTGAGCCAGTTCTCTGCATCCCCTCCACAATGGCCTGGAGGGACATGGATGTCCCCAGGGGTTTCTCAATGCACTGTGACTTATCCTGCTGCCTCAGTGCTCTTCCATGGCTGAGCCAAGGGGTGAAGCAGTCTGTTAGCAGGAAACACTGAAAACTATCAAATCTGAACACTACCAATATCCCACTTTCTGCTGTCAAAACATCCTTTGCTTGTCTGTAGCCATGATATTTCTCTGTGGACACGGGGACTGAATCTCAGTGATGCAAGCCACATGCATACAACATACACACACATTGCGAGCGTGCAAACCCCTGCTCCTAAACTGAGGCAGACATGTGAAGAGGGTCCCAGTTGATCATGGGAGTCGTAAAGCTGCTTTTCCATCATTGCTTGAATAGCTCTAGCCTTCACATAGCCATCCCCAGCATGGGTTCACACTGTAAAGCCTGAACCATGGCCAGAAAGGGACTAAAGCACCCACAAGACCCAAAAGCACAGAAAACTAGGGTAAAACCAGCCCAGTGCCTGGGAGTTTCCCTCTGGATACCAAGGGATCCCATAATGAAAGGTAAATGGGGCTCCATCCACTGCTCCTGGGGCTCAGGGATGAGGGACATTAGACACCCCAGAAAGGACACTAGTGAGACATCCTGCATCTTCCAGCAAAGACACGATGCTGTGCTTCACGCTCCAATCCCAGCCTGGGATTTCCCCAAAACCCCACAACCCACATTGCTCCCCTCCAGTTCTGCCCCACATCCCAGCCACACTCTTGGCTATTTCAGAGATCAGGCACCTGCAACCAGCACCATGCCAGGCACTGGGGGTGTTTATGCAAACCAGTTTTCAAGTTTTAAGAGCAGCCATAAATAAAGTGTAAAAAGCCCTGTCTGCTGTAGAAAGTGCAGGCGCTCCCTTGACAGCCTGGTATTTATGAAGGGGTTAGAATGCAGCAAAGGGACTGAGTAAAGCACACTGGGCCCTTGACATGTTGCACCTGAACCGCTCTACTCATGTCCAGATCAATTCCCACGCGTTCGCCTTACTCAGCTCTGGGCTGGGCATTTATTCTTGGAATTATAGGAGCTGGGAAATCCCCACAGTACCACAAATGCAGCTTCACAGCTCATCCCTGGAGCCCCAGGAGCAGCGGATGGAGCCCCATTTACCTCCACTCCTCCCCAGAGGGATGCGCAGCCCTCACCTCTCCCTTACCGTGGCAGCCAGAAGGATTTGTGCTTTTTGTCCTGGTTCTTCCCATCCTGGAGCACACGGACCCTCACAGCACAGGAGTTTAAAGCAGGACAGGCAGAGCCCCTTCCTCCAGAAGCCACGCTGTAAACCAATGGAACAACAGCTCCCGAGCTCCTGGGGAAAAGCCCTGCTCTCTCCAGAGATGCTGCTGTTTAAGTCCTCCAGCCAACACGCCGTTGCGTTAAGCTCTTGTGCTGGATTGCTCACAGAGGACGGGCTGCAGCATTCAGCCCAGTAACCTGTGCCTCCAATATTTTTCCAGTTGAGAGTGTAAATCCCCTAAAATAGCCTGTTTCTATGGGCAAATTCTTCTTTTCTGACTTGCCATTGAAGCCCGAGCGTTTCTGCTTCTCACTTATTTTTAGCCAAGACACACTGTAGGTCTCTTGTCTGATGAGCCTGCTTGGAGCTAATTTATTCCTGCATTCATTTGTCCTAAGGGCTTGGCCTCGAGCAAGATGTGGGGCAGTGAGTGGCAGAGTGAATGGTGTCACCAAACCCCCTGTCCTTAGCTGTGCGGCACCTGGAGCCCTTTGCACCATACTATGCAGTGGGCTCCAATCCTGTCCCCAAAACACACCTGGATCCTCTTGGGATCGAGGGCTATTGGCCGGGTATTTTTGCTCACACTGTCCCAAATCATTGACTTGTGCCCAATTTAGGGGCTCTGCCAGCACCAGTGGGTGCCTCCGCCTCACCCAGCATCAATGACACCCTCTGGGGATGTCTCCATCCCTCTCCTAATGTGGGTACCACAGTTAGCAGAGCATCAGACCCACATCCATGTGCAATATCAGATGCTGTGGGCTGAGCTCAGCGCTGTCAATAAACCCAGGGAAGGGAAAAGAGCCAAACTCACCTGGATTTATGCTCTCCAGGGCTGCACACAGCGTTGGGAAGCAGAGATTGGCAATCTCACTATGTTTTGCCACGCACTCCTCATTCACATCCTGACCCCCAGCCCTCCCAACCCCTGGCACAAGCAACCCAGCGCTCATGCTTTGGGTTTGTGCTCCAGGAGGAAGATTCTTTGCTGGAGTCTAACGCAGCTCTGGCACCAAGCAGGTGATAAATCATTCCAGTGCAGCCACCAGCCCAGTGGAATTTCAATAGATTAAAGGGGAGAGTAAACATAGGGTCATGATGGGTCCTAATCGTGCCGTCCCAGTGCCTCTCCCAAGCCAAACACAGCTCCTGGGTACCTTCAAGATGCTGAGCAGACCTAAGCACGTGCAGAACTTCCCTTCCCCATCCCACTCTGGGAGCAGGAGCAGGAGAGAGCAAGGGATGAGTGAGGAGTAAAGTCCCCAGCTTTGCTTTGGGGGGAGTCATTTCCCCCAGTCTGCTCATTCCTCCACCCATTCTCAGACGAACCCAGGTGGGATGGGATCTGTGCAGGCAACAAAGGCAACAGTTCAGCTCCTTATCCTGTGCAATATCAAGCCCAAAGGAAGGGACTTTGAACTTACAGTCTATCGCCAAAAAGAGCTGGGGCCAGCAGCAGGTGGAGGGGCCACGGCCACATCCCCTCCGCCGGGTTTGGGAGCCCAGCCTGGCCCATCTTGCCCACCTCCCACGTTCCCAGCCCCGCCCTCAAAGCCCTCCGCTCCATCTCGGGGCGCAGACCCCCCCCAGATGGGGAAACTGAGGCGCGGAGGGGAGCAGAAGCTCAGCCCCCTACTTACGAGCCCGTGCTCGGCTCTCGGAGGCGAAGAGCAGCAGCAGACACCGGAGGAGGAAAGCGAGGGGACCCGCGCCGGGGAGCATCTCAGCCCGGCGGTCGGTGCCCGGGGAGCTTCGGTCCCTGTTCTCGGTGGGTGCTGTGCTGTCACAGCCCGGCTGCTGCGGTGTGGCTAACCGATGTCCCGGTGCTGCTCCCCGGTGCCGGTGCTCGGGGCTGTCCCGGTGTCAATGCTGGGGATGCCCAGATGGAAAGGTGATGCCCGGAGCACAGCGATGTCTCGGTATCGGTGATCGGAGGGTCTCGGTAGTGCCGGTATTTTGGGGATCCCGGTGCCGGTGCCCGATGGTACCGATGCCCGTGGAGGTCCCGGTGGTGCCGGTGCCCGTCGGGGTTCGCCTCTCTCCGATCAAAGGCGCCTCCTTTAGGGAGAGCGAAGAGTTTGTTTGTTGGTATTAAAGGCGGAGGTCTCGGGGGGGGGAGGTAGGAGGGGGGAGGACAGGAGGAGGGGGTGAGATCCGCAGGACGGCTTTTTTTTATTATTATTAGATTCCCCCCCCCTTCCTTTTTTTTTTTTAGGGGTGTTTTAGGAAATTCCTTGGCGGCGGAGGGCGGAGGGGGTGGGGGGGGTGCGGAGCCACACGCTTAACCCCTGCATCCCTGCTGCCAGCTCCGAGCCCAGAGCGGGGCTGAACCCCCCCCTGCCTCATCAGCCCCATTGCTGTGGGGTCCGTGCACGGAGCTGGGCTGCGTGGAGCCTCCCTGCTCCGTATAAAGCCCATTGGAGTGGGGTCCATGCTAACAGTGGAGCTGCAGCCCCCTCTCCTGGGGCCTAACCGTAACCTTAACCCTAACTATAACCCTAACCCTGATCCCAACCCTAAACCTTAACCCTATCCCTATGCTTAACCACTAACCCTAAACCTAAACCTAACCCTTACTGCCCTCCTGGGGCGACCAAGGTGAGCAGAGACAATGAGCCCTGTGGCCACTCTGTGGCCAATTCCCATCCCAGTTACTCCTCCAGGTGATGTGGCTCACATCAGCCCAGCAGCACCACATCCCATGGTCAGAATACCTCACAGAGACGGGTTCCTGCAGCTCCCTTACATCCCCAAGACCAGATTTTTCTTGCTTTTCTCCCTCTTACAGTATCCCAGCTTATGCTTGCAGAGGTACTTTGAGCAGGATACTTCCCAGCACCAGAAATTCAGTCTATACCAAGCTGAGCACCACCAGCTCTACGTCCCTGCATTGGGCAAGAAGTTCCAGACCTCATAGTGGCCCTGAGTTTCTCCCTTGCTGGGCTCCATCTCCTTCCTCATCTCCTGCTTCCCATGCCCCTAGTCAGGACAGACTTCCCCTAGTTTTGATTCTGAGCCAGTTTGTTATGGATTTTCTTCCATTCATTCAATCTCAGGATCAGAGTGTGAGGTCTTCATGCCCAGCACCAACCCACCCGAGATTGGCACTGACCCACAAGTGCCAACGTGTCCCCAAACCCCCAAATCCCATTCAGACCGGCCACGTTCCCCATTTAGCTTGGAAGGGAAGGTGGTCACAAGGAAATTCTGCAACAAAAAACTCTTCTTCCCATCTCTCTTCGTCCCAGAAGCTCAACACCATCCCCTGTACCAAACCACAGCTGCAGGTGCCTATTTCCCAGAGCTGGCTGTGAGAACGGGAAATCTCCTTTGTAATAACAAACCTGCTTTAATTACAGCTTAAATCATCAGCTTTCATACTTCCCTTTCGAGCTTATGTGGACAAACCATGATGCATTCCTGCACCCTGGACACGGCCGGATGCATTTCTCTGGAAGAAGTTGGCAACCATGAACAGAAGCAAAGCAGACACAGAGGAATCCTCACCTCACCTCCGCTCTCCCATATGGGAATATTTGTGACCCTTGAAGAGCATGGAGCTGGAGGCAGAGGTGGGTGGCTGTAGGGATGGTCACAGGTCGACTTGTTTACGAAGGAGCTCTAAAAATAATATCGCCTCACCACTCACTGCCTTCCCCTGTGGATTGTGAGCATGGTGCTGATGAAGGACCAGGAACACAGGAGCTGTAAGCCAGGCACCTTCTGTCTGGCACCGTCCGTCTGCAGGAAGCACAGTGCAGCTGCTGTTGGATTTCATGGCTGACCGGAGGAATCCTGACACGACCACACACCTTCAATACAAAATACAGGGCTGGGTTTAAGAGCAGCCAGCAGAATGCCTGCGTTCTGGATCCAGAGGTCTCCAGTGGGTTACAGGAGCTGATTGTCAGAGCAACCCGGAGCCCATCCACGCTGCCCTTCTCTGCTCAGAGTGCTGGGGTGGAACCCTTGAAGCATCCATGCAGGTTTGGGATGGGGATGTGATTTAAAGACCCCATGTTTTCTCGCCATCCTTCTGTCCTCAGTGCCTCTGTGTGGTGAAGATTTATCCTGACCAGATGGATTTAGCTAACACACATCACACAACCACGATATTAAAGAGTTTGGATTAAATAACAAGCTCCTTCCAGCTCCCCCCAGGGTGAGGGCTACCTCCTCACCCAGCTCTTCCCTTGCACAGAGCAGACCTGAAAAGCACATTTGTAGCTCAGGTCTGCATGTGGCTATGGAGGGGCAGAGAAAAATGGGGATGTGAAGCCCGGATCAATGAAGTTATTTTGCATCTCTGCTGCAACAGCAACCGCTGAATTCAGGACTGTAGATCCTGGCCCTGCATCAGGGCTGAAAGTTATGGGAACGTTCAGCCGTGTCCTAAGTGCAGACCCAGGAAATAAAGGCCAGGCTTGTCGGGAGCAAGGTGCTGTGTTACATCTCTCTTACATCTCATAAAGAATACATTCACCCTTTGGCAAAAAAAATGAGGCTCTTTATCTTAATCTGTGAAGGAATCTGGTGGACAGCTCGATTCTGCCAACATCAATCCATCTGCGATCACGAAGCAGGCTCCAAAACCAGGGGATTGGCTTGCAAATAATAAAACCTGGCTCCTTTCTATTTGCCTTCTGGTTCCTGAGCCTTTAGGTCCAACTCACTTCATGTTTTCTGGGCAATTCCTTTTTGTTTTCCGAATGAAAACTGAGATTCTCCTACCAACCCCTGAATAAACAGCGTGGGCTCCAACAACATCCCGTGCCATGCGAGCCTCGTGGCAGGACAGCAAGCTGGCAGGGTTGCAGGGTGCAGTAGCTGGAAGTTTGCAGCCTGGAATCATGGGCCAGGAGAACCACACGGTTTAGAGCTGCCAGCAGTGGGCAATGGGACTGGAAACCTGCTGGATGTAAAGAAATCTGGCTGCAAAGAAGCAGGAGCAAGCATCCCCAGGGGTGGAGGAGATGCTGCTAAAACACACTGTTCCTTCTGCCCACCATGGGGAATGCAGGCGTAAATCCTTAGCGTTGGCCATCCCAAAGCAACCATCACACTGAATCCCCATGGCCAGCCCACACCACTGACCCTCAGCCACCCAAGCCAGCAGCAAGCTCCTTCCATGGAGCAAGGAAACATCACCTAGAGGGAGTACAGTTACACTACAAAGGCTAATGGCTTTTAAATAAAGAGAGTAGACTTAGACAAGACACTAGAAAGAAATGCTTCACATTGAGGCTCTGGCACTGCAGCTCAGAGCTGTGGGTGCCCACCCCCAGCGGTGCCCAAGGCCATGGATGGGGCTGTGGGTGCCCAGGGGGGGCTTTGAGGTCCATTCCAACCTCTGGGACTCTGGGGTTCAATGAACTGCAACCATTGGGAAGGCTGACACCCAAACTCAGGGCTGCACAGAGCAGAGGTGAGATCCCTCCTGTAGCTCCACAGGCTTTATTCATCCCCATTGACAGCTCGTGGTCATATAAATAATGTCTGGCATGCATTTGATGGAACTTATTCATCTTTGATGACTTTTGTGGGTCCCTTCCAACTCAAATGACTCTACAGTCTGACACTGGCAAGCTAGAAGTTGGACTCAGTGATCCTTATGGGGTCCCTTCCAACATGAGATGTTCTGTGATTCAAGGTCTACTTTACTCATCTATAGCCAATGGAGATGGAGTCCTTCCATCAGAAGGGGATGGGGATGGAATAGGATGATGCCTCTCTGCCATACTCCACTAACTAGGGATAAATTGAGCAAAATCCACATCTTCTTCGTGCCACAGCTTCACAAAACTCCCCTCTCACTGACACAGAACAACCTGAAAGGGGAAAAAGAAATCAAAGCACTGAGCCCACTCAAGGGCAAGGACGTATGGCTCCTGCCCCACTGAACCTGTGCTGATCAATGGCCCTCGAGGCACACAAGTCATAAGGCTAGAGAGAGGGGCATTTGGGTAATTAGGGCTTCAGGGCTCCATTCCCCATCTGGGTACCACACAGAGATGGAGAGAAGCAGATGCAGAGGAAAAACATTCTTCTCTGAGCTGCAGAGAATGCCTGACCCTCATGCACAGCGCTCTCACCACTGGCTCTGCACCTCCAAACTGAACGGGAAGAGAAGTGCTGGCAAGGGTCCTTCGGGCTGTTTTGATGCTGTCACTTCTTGTCCTGGCTGCTGTCGAGCTTCCCTTGTTTGAGGTGAATCTCATACATTTCTCATGCTTTCCTTCACTGCTCGCTGGACTCTCCATCCCACTGCACCCCCCTAAACTGAGAGGGTTGGTATGGACCTCAAACACTCAGCCATCGCCTTTCCCAGCACATGATTGCCTGCTCTCCTCCTGATGAGTGATTAATGCTGCTGAGAGCTCAGGAGGCTCCTGGAGGTTTCTTGAAGGCAAGGCCCACGAAGGCAACCTGCAGAGGACATCAGCCTTCCTCTCCTGATTCACAACCCGAGAGCTGCCCTCACATTTATCACTCTACAGCGATGTAACAGCTGTAGGAGATAACACCTGCAGCCCAGGGTGCTGGAGGTAACACTGTTCATCATAGCTCAGGTGTGCTCCCAAGGCTTTTCTGGGTATGCAACAGGATCTGGTCAAAATCCACAACAGAACAGGCCAGCAATGGCTTGCCAGAGTTTGGGAGTGGTTGTTTTCCATGCAGACAACCATAAGCACTGCTGCAAAGGTGGTTTTAGCATGACTCTGAGCCATGGGGGCTGGGGAACTTTTCAGAGCCCTAAATCTGCACCTTTGAAGGCTTGAGGTAGTCACAATTGATAAGGCTTAAAAACGGGCTATGAGATAATTTAGAAATGGAACACGGAGAGGGAAATTCAGTAATTTTTTGATCATCTGAGCTCACTGGCAAGCACAAGAGCAAACACACAGCAAGTCGTCTATAATCTAATATAG